CTCCCCAGCACCCTCCCCAAGATGGTGCCCAATCTGATACAGGCTATACATTTACATTCCTATTAAACATATTTTCATATTAGTGAAGTTGTAAGTAAAAATTAAAACCAATCGGAGGAACCATCAGAAAGAGGAAACAAAACTCAACGGAAGACAACAAAAAATGATAGTGATTCAACTTCCATAGTTCTTTCTTTGGATGTGGATAGCATTTTCCATTCTCTTTTTCATAATGGAAGGAAGAGTGATGCCCCCGAAATGACTGGCAAGGATATAATGCCCTCCCACAGTTAGGCCCATGGAAACACGTCAACCTGGGTACGACCAGCCCAGGCATACCCGCTGCATGCAGGACCCGAGACAGAGCACACAGGACATCCTGGGGAGGCTACGGTTCAAGCATGTGCACGACCAACAGTCCAGGGAGGAAGAGCTGGGGGTAGGCCAAAACTTCAGCTCTCCTCACATCTCGGGTATGATTCCCCACCCTCATTTTTCTATTGAGTCATCATTAACCATCTTTTTTTTTTTTAATACAGAGAAGAAAACAAATCCAGTGAGGGACAGAAACCAGAAGGGTAATAACTTTGTTACTACTTTGTTAAAGATACTCCACACAGGGTTGTTCCCAATGCACACTGGTGGCCCTGTGCCAGCTAGGCCACTCCAGGGCACAACTAGCTGTCCCTCTTCACAAGCTCCGGCCCTGAACCTCGGAGAGGAGACGCCCACCTGGGACAATCAAAGCCCTCGCTGTCCACACCCTGTTAGTTCTCATACCAGGCAGCTCAAGGTTTTATTAATCTTCCTAGTCCACAGATTAAAAAAAAACCCAACAACCTCATGCTTGCATGCCCAAGATAGTCCTCCTCTAAGTACATTTTAACAAGACAATCCTTCTTTTAACAAGACACCTTCTCAGCAGCTACAACATAACAGAATCCTGTTCTTCCACCCCTAAGGACTCCACATTTCCCTCAACAGCCAGGCACTGTGGCTCCCTCCCCCGTTCCCCCCCCAGAGACTCAGAAAATATTTTGCCCCAGATGTCCTGGCCGACACAAGTTATCAGCGGTCAAATGTGTCAGGGCATTGTCCACCAGGCCTTCATAAACAAACCAAAGGCATCCTGAGAACTTTAAATAACTTCCCAGCAAGGGAGTCCTAAAGGCCAGATTTGGAAAGAATCACACACATGTTCAGGCAAGATTTTTCATCTCCTATTATCCCACCCTGCCACCACCAAGCACACCAGAAGGAAAGTAGCCAGAAAGCTAGGATAGGCACTCTGGGGACCCACCAACCCAGAAAAGAACGAGAGATACCATCTGCACCCAAGGAAACCACTGTTTGACTCCTAATTTAAAAAAAGGACTCATAAGACCCCAGTGGGCAGGGGATGGAAGCTCTTCCTGCTTTGATTCCCTCTTCCTTCTTCCCCTCTGGGGGGAGGTCTGAGCATCAGGGAATGGGATCCCATGGAGAGACTCCCACACCAGCCCTATTTGGAACCCACTTGGCTGGAGAGGCCTGGAGCAAATCTGCAGCAGCTCATCAAGGGCCCTGATGAATCCAGCTGCAGGGAACTGTTAGAGAAAAGTGGTCAGCAGAGCTGGGGCCTGGAAAGGTTTTCTACCAGATTCCTGGCAGCCACAATGCCACAAGCCCCTCCCGAGTCTGATTCCTGGAGGAGCCTGGTCCACTAAATACTTAGGGGCTCCCAGCAGACCCTGGAAAGAAAGTGGAAAGGCACTCACGGGCCAAGGTTTGTCCTTGTTTTGAAATCCAGGCAACCACTCGACACAGGCTGGGGGGAGTAAGGGGTATGAATGCTGCCCTCTCCTCTCTTCCCCCTGCCGACCTCGGGAGCTATTCCAGCCATCTGCAGCAGGAGTACTGAAGGCTGAGGGTTACACCCATCACTCAGGGAGGAGCTTCCAAACCTGTAGTTTTCTCTGGGTATAGGAGGGCAGGCACTTAAAACCTGTTCCATGTGAGCTTTGGGGCAGATGACAAGGTAGCATTCTGGTTCATGTAAATCCACTGGGTGACAAGCTTTTAGTAAGTGACTGTTACGGGCCGAGGAACCCCCCCCCCACCTGGGGCTACAAAGACAGAAAAATAAAAGCAGTTCCTGTCCCCCCAGGGCGCTTCCACTCACTCTACAATGAGGCCCCTCACATCAGCCACCCTCAAGCAACACACTGGACACTTAGAAATGCCACCTAACCACAAGACTTCCTTCTTCTAGAATATTTCTTTTTTCCTCCCTTATCTCTACAAAGCCCTTATGAAAATTGATTAGGGAAATGGTTCAACAATTTGTGACAGAAAAACATTGTAACAAGCACAAAAATTCAGGAACCCCCAGGGCAGACCTCTTCCCACCGATGCTGAAGGAAGTCAACAGAATTAGGGAAACAAAATCCCTAAGGATGAGAACATCATACATAATTAAAAAGAAAAATCAAAAAATGAATGGCTAATCTTGACCTCTAAAAAGACACAAAAAAGCTGCCCTTTTTCTTTTGTTGGAGATGTGGAGAACTACAGGTACAGAAGGCTAGATGTGCTGCCAAACGTAGTTGATGTCATGACAATAATAGCACACATTCCTATGCTGCTTTACGGTTGGTAAAGCTCTTTATGAACATTGTCTCGTTTTATCCTCGCAACAACCCTGGAAGGTTGGTTCGTTTACTATCCCCATTCTCCACTTGAACAAACCAAGGCGGAGGCTGACTTGCCCAAGGTCACCGGGCCAGTAAAGGCTTCAATGCCACATTAGAACTCAGGTCCTCCTGAATCTGGAGGCCCTACTACCTCTACTGAGTCATCTCCTCCTCATTCTCCCTGTCTTCTCCCTCTTACCTCCCCCTCCTCTTATGGCTTTTCCTTTTCTTCTTTCTTTCCCTCCCCAATTTTGGAATATTTCTACAAGAAGAAAACCGTTAAAGGTATTTCACAGAGGCTGAACGGTAGCTGATTTATTAATATAAGACAATGTCAACATGAGCCAGGAAGGTAGGAACTGAGAGCTTCCATCCTTATCACCAAATTATCATTGAAAAGGACAGGGGAGCATCGAGAGCTGCTTCTGGAAGGACCCCAGCATGCTGCCGCTTTCCCCAAGCTCTGTGCCAAATCCCCTAACGTCGAGACTACCTGGCTAATCACTGACGCCATCTGTCCAAAGCCCGCACATCACATGCCGATTAGAGGCACCGCTGAAGGATCTGTTCTCTGTTCTCGCCAAGCCAGGTTCCAAATGAAGGCTCCCAGACAGCGCTGCAGAAGTGTCACTGCTTTTCCTGAAAAGGCGCAGCCAGGCTCCAGCATAAACAGTCCCGAGGGAGCCGCAAGGTATGGAGGAGCGCACTGATGACCAGTAAAAATCAACCCCTCGAGCCTGATGCCCGGGAAGCTGATGGAACACCATAACAGGAAGTAAGCTCCCTTCCCCCAGGCTACGCCAGGGAGCCAGGCACCCCCATCTGCCTTGGGAGGGCCTGCCAAAGAGCTAAGGCAGAATGGCCAGTCACAGGAGCCCAATCAGCAGCAATGAGAAGGGGCATGGGGGCAGTGTTCCCTGCTCCCCCCCGCCATGGGTACAGACAGACGCACTGACGGACACACAGACAGACACACAGACTCCCATCTAGGGCCAGAATCAGCACAGTCAGACACGGTAGCCTCCTCTGGACATCTTCCCAGGATGGTGGGGAGGTGGAGGTGAGGCAGGGAGGGGATGGTACATAGATGGAAGGCTTTGGACCTGGGGCAGAGGACGTTGTTAATGCCGTCTCTAGGAACATGCTCCTGAGAGGAGCCTCTGGACTCTACCATGAGGGAGTGGGCCCCAATGGTCTCGGAGGTCCTTTAGTCTTATGCCCTTCATGACATGCCCCATCCTTTGGGATAAACCCCTTGTCTCTGCCCCATGGGACACAGGTCCTCTTGATACCCTCCCAGGGCCCCTCCCGAAGGCAGAGGGGCTACAGCCCTGTGGGGGCCTGGGGCCAGGCCAGCTCCTCTCCCACCTTTTCACCCACACTTCTGGCGACTCGCCCACTAAGAAGCCTTCACCAGTACTGGAATGCTTCATGGGGGGAGGGGAGAAGCCTCCTTCCACAGCAGAAAACCCTAGCAGGTGTGCTCTGGCAGTCCCCTCTCCCCAGAAAGGCTGCTGGCTCCCTCCCCACAGAGCCACACCTGCCACCCAAGGTAGGGCCCCATGCACTCCAGACTCTGAGGCACCCCCACACAGGACAGATGACTACCAGGCTCTATTTGGAGACCAGAGACAAGATATGACCAAACCTAGCCCAATCCCTGGGAAGGGCCAGCATCTACCAGCTCCCCTTCCAAGCCCTTCTCACACTGGGAGAGCCCAGCCCGAGTGCAGGGCCCAGCAGCTGGCTACACCCTCTGCCTCTGGGGTCCTCTGTGAGAACTCGGCACTCCCACCTCCCCCTTCCCACCATTCCCACATCTGCCAGCTCCCCACACACACCGAAAGGCAAACATCTAACCTCTTGGGATTCAGAGGTCCCTGCCCGCCTGTCCACTGGCCTAACTCACACCACCTGACCATCAGCAGGCACCTGGAAGCCACCAGAGGCTGTGAGACAGACAACCAAGGCACCTTCTCAGAACAAGGTCTGCTGTGAGCCACAGCAGATGCAGGAATGAGGGCCCATGAAAAGAGAATTCTGACCGTGTTTATTGTTGGGTTGTTTAAAAACTGTAGCCAAGACCTCGTCCTCAATGAAAAACACGCAGGGCACAAGAGCAGACTCAGTATAGACCCCAGACAGGGCAACGTCAACACCTCCCCGGTAAATGGGGGAGAGTCCCCACCAAGGACTCTGATGGCAGAGATCCCCACCGAGAAGTCAGCTACAAGTCTCCGAGGGTGGTGGCCAGAGGGCCCCACAAGGAGCCTGCAGGGGCAGCAGGGACCACAATGGCCGCCAAGGCTCTCCCTCCAGCGCTCTCACCTGCTCCAGCAGAGATGATGCTTCTCATGTCCGAGTCCAGTTTCTGAACCAATGCCTTTGGGTCGATCGTGGTCCCAGCAAAGATGTCCGAGGTCACCAAGCCCCAGTCCTGATGGCAGAAAGGTAGGATGAGCCGCCCTTCGAGGCCCCTGGAAGCAGAATTCAGACTAACCTAGGGACAAGCCCCCCCATCTCTGCCCCCCCACCTGGCATCCTCCAGGCCCCTCCCAGCTCCCCCCACCTGGCATCCTACAGGCCCCTCCCAGCTCCCCCCTCCACATCTGGCATCCTCCAGGCCTCTCCCAGCTCCTTCCTGCTCCTCCCAGCTCCCTCCCTCTCCACACCTGGCATCCCTCCAGGCCCTTCCCAGCTCCCCCCTCTCCACACCTGGCATCCTCCAGGCCCCGCCCAGCTCCCCCCATCCATACCTGGCATCCTCCAGGCCCCTCCCAGCTCCCCCCATCCACACCTGGCATCCTCCAGGCCCTTCCATCCCAGAAGTGCTGCTGCAGCTACTCCATGCCTGCCTAGCCCTCCCATCTCTCCCCCAGGATCCTTCTCACCCACCTGACCACAGCCTGGAGGCTCCATCCCAATGAGAAGCCAGGCATGGGGGTTGGGGCTCTAGGTCTGTGGACCCTCCCCTCAATCTCTCCTGCCCATCCCAGGCCTCCACAAGGTCCATCTGCCTTCTCCCTGGCTTCTTCCACATCACAGATGCCATTCTTCTCTACCTACCCAGAGGGCTACAAATGTGATTTCACAGAATTCCAGACTATTGGGGCAGCCTCCAGTCCAACCCCTCTCCTCCCTCCCTAAAGGCCTCAAACCCCCAAGCCACTCTGAGGGAGGGAGGCTGGAGACCCCTGGCAACTGGGCGGGGGGAAGCTCAGACTCCCATGGGTGGGCAGGGCAAGTTTCCATCCCCACTCAGGAGTATCTCCTGGGAGGCCTCCTGCAGACAGGATCTCCAGGCTTTAATTAGACTTATTTTAATTAAGCCAGTAAGTAGTCCCATCAGCCTCCAGGGGAGGGTAAGAAGGCAGCTGGCTGAAAGAAGACTTGAAATAAGGTGAGGAGGGAACTGTGCAGACATCCTGACTCCTCCTGGGGCTCCCAGGGGTCACCACTGGAGAAGTCCTGGCATGTGTGCTAAGGCTGCCAGTCTGTAGGAACCCAGTCAATCAACACTGATTAAGTCCCTACTGTGTGCCAGATGCAAAAGACTGTCCCTGCCTTGGAGGAGCTCACACTCCAATGGGGCAGCATGCAAACAAATCTAGAAAAAGCAAGCCTGGAGACCGGCTAAGGATGGAATGATGAAGAGGGAAGGCCCCGGAGGCTTCCTGGAGAAGGCAGGATTTTAGATGGGCCATAAAGGAAGCTGGGGAGCTCAGCAGTCAGAGCAGAGGGAGAGTGTTCCAGGACTGGGGGGTGCCCAGAGAAAAAGCCCAGACAGAGATGGGGGGGGTCTTGTTCTTGGAATGTGGAGACCACAGGATCCAAGAGAACATGGAGGGGAGCGAGGTATAGGAAGCATGGAAAGGGAGGAGGATGCTGGGTTATAAAGGGCCTTGAAGGCCAAACAGAGGATTTTGTCTTAGAGACCAGAGTGGTCAGACTGGGGTTCAGGGAGATCATCTTGGTGGCTGAATGGAAGATGGACAGGAGTGGGAGAGATTGGAGGCAGGCAGACCCTCCAGCAGCTGTGGCCAAGGTTCAGGCATGAGGTGACCAAGACCCGCACCAGGGAGGGGGCAGGACCAAATGAGAGAAGGGAGTGAATTTAGGAGAGTGTGGGGAGGTGAAGTGAAACCGGTGGAGGTGAAATGGACAAGAGACGCCCAGGAGGTGAAATAGACACGCCTTCGCCTCCCGCTGGCCGGGAGTGGGGAGTCCGGGATGAATCCCAGCCCAAGGGATTGGAAGCATAGCGCTGTCCTCTACAGTGACAGCCAAGGGAGGAGAGGAGGAGGGCTTAGGTTCACAGAAGGGGGTCTCCAGGAGAGAGCTGGGGAGCCTTCCTGAGGCAGAGACACCTCCGGCTTTGGGCAGAGGAGAATGGCCCAGGGCTGGCACCCGGCCAACCAAACAGCACTGATAGCGCCAAGCGCACGGTGGTAGAAACGTCCGCCGCTGAAAAGTGCGGAGTGATCTAAAAGGCAGCCAGACGGCAGCTGACTCCGCGCTCGCCGACTCCCCCCTAGAACTCAGGAGTTCTCCGCGCTCCCCCACGCGCCTCACCACCTCGACTCCGGCTCGCGCGCGCCCTCTGCCGCTCTCTCGAGAGCACGCCAGCTGCCAGAGGACCGTACTATCTCCCGCGCTCCCTTTCCCCGCCCCCGCCAGCATGTGACTTGATACGGCCTGCTCCCTCGTTTTCTCCCCTCTTCCGGCACCGGTGCGCCCCCTGTCGCTCTCGCGAGAGCACACTCAACCAGGGCCCCCCTTCCCCCGCTTGGACCGTACCAAGTGCCACTCCCCTCCTGCTCACATTCCCCTCCCCGCCCAGCTCCGGTGGTCCCGCCTGAGGTGCACCGGGCTTACCTGTCCCCCCAGCTCCACTCCATGCTGTCACCTCCGCGGTCGTGGTCGTCGCCGCCGCCGCCGCCACCGATGCCTCTGCCTCCTTGGCGCTCGGGGCCGGACGGGCCGTCTTCACCGCGGCTGCGTGCAGCCGGGCCCGAGGCCGCCTCACTTTGCCCACCATGCTGAGCCTCCGGAACGGCCGGGTCCGTCACGTGCTCACACCCACCGCCCGGAAACAAGGCCCTGTGCACGTGGGTTCCGCAGCACCGCCCGGGCTCCTTTTGGGGAATGGGAAGGGGCGGGGCCGAGCCGAGGAGGGGGAGAGCCTGAGGCTCCGCCCCCGGGACACCACCCCACCGCCACCACCCCCCCCGCCCGGGGGGGGCAGGCTGCACGCGTGCGCACTCCCTCCAGGCAGCTGGGGGCGGGGAGGGGCAGCCTGGCTTTCCCGGATTACCCCATCAGGAGCTCCTCGTGGGTGCGGGAGTTGTCCGGAGGCGGAGCCTGACCCACGAAGTGGGGGACAGGACGCCCTTTTTTTACAGAAGAGGAAGGCACTCGGAACAGCATTCGAACCCGCCACCCTCTTCCCTCCCCTGGGAGCCTCGGGGTCTTACAGCCTTCCTAATTGCTGCGCAGGGCCTGGGAGGAGAAAGAAAGAACATGCCCCGATCCGCGCCCGCGGCCCCTTTCCGCCGGAACCGGGGTTGGGGGGGGCCGCCGGCTTCCTGCCCTTCCTCGATCCCCTCCCCGCAGCAGCTGGGAGCCCTGGAAGGAGGGGGGAGGGGAGCCAGGCCTTCCCTCCCCGGTATCCTCTCGGGCCGCCCCTACCCCCCAGCCGAACTCCAGGGCTGTACAGCATTTTGAAAGATATATGCCCCGCCATTAGATTGCAAGCCCCCTGAGGGCAGGGGCTTGGCCCAGGGCCTGGCACAGTATGCACTCTGTTCACTGTCCCTGAGCCCATTTGGAGTTTTCTGGGTAAAGATGCTTTCTCCTCCAGCTTATTTTACAGATGAGGCTGAGGCAAGCAGGGTTAAGTGACTTGCCCAAGGTCAAACAGGACACGTCTGAGGCTGGATTTGAACTCAGGTCTTCTTGGTGCTCTAGACTCTGCAGTGCCACATAGCTGTCCCTGGCACATAGTAGGTGCTTCATAAATGCCCTTTGATTTGACCTTGAGGTCCTGGGCAAGATGCTTCAGCTGCCCATGAGCCTCAGTTTACCAATCTGTTAAAAGGGGAGTCCAGAAGAGAGAAGGGAAGGCTTTTTGTTTGGCCCTGCTTGGGTGAGAAAGCACTGCCGGTGCACTCAGGTGGGGGGCCGTGGATAGAACACTGGACCTCAGGTTGGAAGTCCCAAGTTCAAATCCTCCTGAGCCACTTCCTGGGTGTCACCCTCAGGAAGTGGCTCCCCCTCCCTGGACAAATCCTTTGGCAGTGCGGGTCAGTGGAAAGAGCCAGTCTAGAGTCTTCGGGCCGGGGTTCGAATCCTGCCTTCCCATTGACTTCCTGGGTGGCATCAGGCCCCAGCCTCCAGAGGCTTTCCAGAGCTCCCCCCCCAGGCAGGCAGGGAGAAGGGGTGCCTGCCCTTCCTCTCATGGCAGGCCTTGGGGGGCCCTGGTGGTGCAGGGGTGCTCCCAGCAGCAGTTCTGAGCCAGGGCTGTGAGGGAGGGGGGAGCCTTCCCATAGACTCCTCCAGGTAGTGGCTCATCTGGGCGGAAAGCCCCTGGAAACCCCTGGGCCTGCTTGCCTTTTAAGGACGGGCAGCTCACTTCCTCCATCCCACTGCATCCTGCTGTGCCCGGCATCTTGGGCGGAGCAGGGGGAGAGAGGTGCCAGGGGAAGGGAATGAGTGTCTCCAGACCACCTACCTGGCGTGTAGCCGGGGTGAGGGACTAGGGCGGGGTCATTCAGCCAGGAAGTGTCTGAATCTGGATTTGTACTTGCATCTTCCAGACCCCAGGCCCAGCTGCTGCAGCTGTTTGTCAGGCAAGGACTGTCCCCTGAATCAAAGTGGGTTTTAGATTAGCAGAGCAGAGTGTCTGATCCCCAGTGGTGAGGCAGGGGCTCAGGGGGCAGCCGAGCTGGGCATCTCTTCCCAGAGAGCTGGGGCATCCTTGGCAGGAGGCCAGGGATTAGCAGAAGTAAATAAGGCCCCAGCCCTCTGCTCCTCCCAGACCCCCACCCCCTCCCCCAGGGCAGGTCTCCTCTTCCTCCTCTTCCTCCTCTTCCTCCTCCCCCTCCCGAGGCTGGAAAAAGAGAAAGACACCTCGCTGGGCGGAGGTGCAGCCCCTCCCCTCCCCTCCCCCGGACTGCCCGTAAATGACTTGGCCCCCTCCCCGAGGCTTCCACCCAAGAAGAGCTGAGCTGGAGGGAGAAAGGCACCAGACTGGTAAGGCTTGGGTCTGTCCGCAGTCAGGTACCACAGTATCTATCATCTTTATCTTGTTGGGGAAACTGAGGCCTTGGGTCGAAGTTCTGCCTCGCGTCCCACCTGGCTGTGTGACTCTGGGCAAGTCCCTTCCCGTCTGAGGTTGGTCTCTCCAACTTTTGCTCAGCCTATCCAGCACTGGGCAGACCTAGTGCTCTGAGTGGGAGGATTTGGATTTAAGCTGTGAAGAGGGGCCTGGGGTGATTTAGCCTGAGGTCTTAGAAAAGTGAGGGTTCTCCTGCCTGGAAGGGTCCCCCCTTCTCTGCCTCCCTCTCTGCGGGCCCCACCGACCCACCCACATGTCCAGCCAGCCCTTCCAGGCTGGCTTTGTGCATGACCCATTCCATCCAAAGACATTAACTTATTGGGAGCCTGGAGCTACTTCCTGTTGGAGTCACAGAGGAGCTAGTCCTCTAGTCTTGCCCCATCCCCATTTCATAGATGATGAAACTGAGGTTGGGAACAATGAGGTGACCCCAAGTAGGAGGTCAGGGGCTGGCCTTCAGGACACCCGAGTTCTAGTCCTGCCTCTAACCAGCTAGGTGCCCAGCCTTGGACAAGTCATTTAAGCTCGGTGGGCCTCAGTTTCCTCTCTGGAGTTAGATGATTGTGAAGGTCTTTCCTCTGGAGAGTCTGTGGTTCTTGAATATGGAATAAAGGTTCAGGGGAGCCTCGGAGGGCAGACTGAGCTTGGGCTGGAGAGCAGCGCGTAGGGTGAGGCTCGGGGTCGGGCAATGCCTATCCCAGCCTGGGAAGGCAGTGGGGCCCCCTTCACCAAAACCCTTCCAGCAGAGATCAAGGAGGGCTGCTGGGGAGGGCACCTTGTGGAAGGCCATGCCCTCCCCGGCCAGGCCTCTGACTGCACCCGATGGCTTGGCCCCCCACCCCAGATTTTGGGAGGACCTGGCCACAGCTAGCCAGGCCCCCTGCCCCCGGGGGGGACAGGTGGATGCTCTGCTGCCCAGTCTCTGGCACCGGTGCCTCCTTGTGTTACACTGGCTCTCTGCTGTGCCTCAGGGGCTGGGCTGCCCCCTGGCATATCAGAGCTGGGCGTTACCGCCCCTACCCTCGTCTCCCTGGCCCAGCCGCCATTGCAGGCCCTTAGAATGATGTCTGCCGGCTTGGGGACTTTGGCCACTCACCTGCTCCTTCCCTGTTTGCAGACCTCTCTGGGTCCTGCACCCAGCTGGCATTCTGTCTCTCCTCAGTGGCCATGCTTTCTGGCCTGGCTCTGGGATGCCATTCCTAGAAGGGGTGCCGGGCAATGTCCATGCAGCCAGGTGGCCCAGAGGATAAGAGTGCTGGGCCTAGAGTCAGGAAGACCCAAGTTCCAATCTGGCCTCAGACACTTCCTGTCCGTGTGACCCTGGGCAAGTCCCTTAACCTCTGTCTGCCCCAGTTTCCTCCCCTGTAAAATGAGGATTAAGATGGCAAAGATTGTTGTGCAGTCAGCATACATTAGGCACTTAATAAATGCTTATTTGCCCTCCTGCCAGTTTGCTCAGGTGTCCCTCTTCTGGCTGTCTCCTGCCATGTAGTTCTCCCCACCCCTGCCCCAGGAGACAACAGACACCTGCTCCAGGGCCCGGCTCCTGACCAGGCCCCTGCTCAGGGGGCTTTCCTGTCCCAGTCTGATCACCATTCCTGGTCAGAGACTGGCTTTGGGCTGACCCCTGGAGGGTGAGCCCTCTTCTCTGCTGCTCCCCCCCAGCTCTGAGCCTGAGTCATAGACAGGACACTGAGGTCCAGGACCTTGCCCAGAGTGAGAGGTGGAGGAAGGCCCTAATCGCTCCTGAGGCACCCTCTCCCTCCACCCCTCAGGCCTTTCTAGACATTGGGGGCCAGCCCTTCTCTACTGGGTGGAAGTCAGTGCTGCCCTTCCAGAGCGTCCCCCTTTGGGGACTTCATCAGTGCTCATCAAGGCTTGATTGGGAGCTTAATTAGATGTAAAGTCCAGATTGACCCGGGTTCTGCCCTCCCACTTAGGGAGCCCAGGCTAGGAAATTCAATCAATCAATCAGTAAATATCCCTTAAGGCAAAAGACAGCCCCTGCCCTCCAGGAGTTTACAGTCAGGCAAATTGCTGCTACCAGTCCTTCTCTAAGAGGACCCTGACAGCCAGGAGGTGATACCAGGACTTGTGCATGGATTGGATTGATGGGAGGGCTTTGCAAGGTCACCAGCCTCATCTCTCCTCTGGAGCCATCTGGGCCCAGTGGCCAGCTCAGGATGACTGGAGATGGCCCAGGATGCAGCGGGGGAGCTTGACTTTTTCAAGGGAAGGTCTATCCCAGGTCTCAGTTTGACCGAGGCAACACCCATTCAGTGATTAAGGCTAGGTAAGAAATGAGGCAGAGCACAGCCTCTTAAAAAGCAAAACTAGACAACAATGAGAAGCAGGCAAGTGTATATACAAAGCCAGCTCTGAGTGGGATAAATAGGAAATAATTAACCTAGGGGAGAGCTGAGACTAAGAGGGCTCAGAGAAAGCTTCCGGATGGATTCAGAGGAAACCAAGGAGTGACAAGGAGCTTCCAGGCATGGGGAATGGCCAGAGAAAACACCCAGAGCCCAGAGATGCCCACTCTTCGGAAAAGCAGGTGGGTGGACGATGCAGAGTGGGGCAGGTGGCCCAGGGTGGCTAGACCGGGTAGAATGTGGATTTGATCCGCTGGGTCACCTTGGACCAGTCATCTGTCTCTGGCTCCCCATGGGGTCAGCTGATCCCTGAGGATCAAAGCTAAGAGGAAGCCTTGATGGAGAAGGTCTGGGCCCCCCAGGGTGCTGTGAGAGACTTCAGGCCCAGAGGGAGGGCTGAGGAAGGGGCCTCTCACAAACCTCTTTCACTCATTAGGGGAGGAAATGTTGGGTTTTCATTCTTGAAACCACTGGAGGCTGGGGAGGGGGGAAAGGAAGCCTGGTTGCAAAGCCTCAGAAGGGCCCCAGATCTTTCCACATGTAAATTGTCTGACTCATCAGAGCTGGTTAGTGAGGCCTCCAGAGCATGGGGTCATCCTGGGGAGCAGCCCCAGGGCACTGACCCAGACCCAGGCCCCATCAGCTGGGCCACCTCCTCACTCCCTCCCTCTGAGAGCTGCCTGGGTGTCTGCCCCTGCCCAGGCCCCATCAGCTGGGCCACCTCCTCACTCCCTCCCTCTGAGAGCTGCCTGGGTGTCTGCCCCTGCCCTCAGGGTCCCAATCTACCAGTCAATCAACAAACATTGATTAGGCATTTCCTGTGTGGACAGGCCCTGTCCTAGGGCTGGAAATACAGTTGTTGGGTTTCCTTGTGAATTGGTTTGAGATGAGGCAATCTTCAGCCTCATTCTCTCCTCAGGAGCGCTGGGTCCAGTGGCCAGAGGTAGATCAGGAGGACTGGAGATGGCCTCCGCTGGAAATGCAAAGTCAGAAATCCAACAGGCCTGGCCTCAAGGAGCTTACACACTCCAGGGGAGACTGTGTGTGTATGCACATAACATACCTTGGTTAAGCTGGCTGAGTGACTTGCCCAGGGTCACACAGCTGTTA